TGGGTGGTCAAGAGGAGGAATTGTTGATGTTTGTCAAACGAAGAAAACTTGCCCCCTTCTCCAACCGAAAACTCCACAAATGACTTGCATATCGGGCATGGCATCTTCGTGTGAACACACCAACCACAAAATAACCCATAAGCCGTGAAGTCATGCATGGAATAATGGTACCAAATATGCATTCTGAAGTTTGTCTTTGTGAATCGGTCGTATGTCACTACCCCTTCGTCCCATGCACGGACCAAATCGCTATCATCAAAGGCTCCATGTACACACTCATATTAGCCCCCGGTGTCCTGGAATTATAAGTGACAAGAAAATATTTTGCCGTTGAAAGGCGGCACGCCAGTGGGAGGTTGAGAGGGATGACGAATACGGGCCAACATGTGTATGGTGAAGAACCCATTCCATAAGGATTGAACCCATCATTTGCCGATTGCAATGCGTACATTACGAGCCTCATCGACTTTGTTTGTGTATGCTTCCGATCGAAGCTTTTTCCATGATTCACCATCGGACGGATGTATCATCTTGTCGCTGTATCGGCGGCCCGCTTTGTGCCACGTCATCTGCTTTGCGGATTCTCGCTCATGAAAAGCCGTTGGATCCTCGGTATGAAAGGAAGGTACCTCGTGATCTTTGCGCCGACTTTTGTTTGCGTCTTCCGACCATCACCAGATTCTAACTCAATGTACCTAGATGCCTTACACTTGGACGAGATTTTATCGTCGAGATGTTCTCCCCTCAATAAGATGCATCCGTTCGGACAAGCATGTATCTCGCTCGTACGACATCTTGAGTGCACGAAGGATTTTATTTGACTCATATGTGTTCTTTGGCGTAACGTGATCATCCGGAAGTAGGGTGCCAACTCATCACAACATTGATCGAAAGATTCTCTACTCCAATTAAATCGGGACTTCACACCATTAGACGTGCAATGGCATCCAGGTTTAGAAACATTGGTGCGCCTGTGAAGGGGTTGTTGTGTTCGCATCCAACATGGCGTAAAACGCCTTTGCGCTTTGCTCGCTCCTGCTTCGCACTTCCTTCATCGAAAGCCATGTCATGGTCATTTAACATTTCGCCACCCGGCTTGAATCAAACTCCTCGATCCGTTGTCTCACGACCTCTTCTCTCGCGATGGCGCTTCACCATGCATGGTCCACCGGGTATAGTTCTCTACAAATCCATTGTTGACAAGATCTTTACTCATCTCCTCATATGTTTTCATTGCCTTGTTCTTACACTTCCTCTGAGGACACCCGTGCATGTCGCCGTCTGCTTGCAAATGCCTTCGTCATGAAATCATTGGCCTTCTCAATCCATTCATTTGTGTATTGACCCCTCTTCCGATAGCCCGTGTACATCCAATCGACGGTCATCCATCCTAACATATAGACGATATTGCGGTTTAGAGCAATAAAACTGGAATAAGATCAATTCCTCCAAGAAAAATAAGAATACAACATCAACAGAGGATGTGGATTCCTGCAATATTGTGCAGATGTCAACTTTGCGAGGAAAACAAAAGCCACCCAAATTCCTTTTGCAAATTGAAGTACTTATAATTTGTAGATCTATCAGAAATCTAATGCAAAGGTCCATTTCCTAATTGCTTTGGACAATTCAAAGAAGGGAACACATCTACCAAGAATGGGTCTTCAAGTTCCAACCCAAGCTTGCCGATGATTTCGTAAATCTTTATGCTCAACTTATATGACAACAGTCTTTCAGACCATTCCTCTTTTTCCAAAAAATGCCAGCTTAATATTTCTTGATCTTGCATTTAATCAATTTTCCGGGAGCTTACCGACATGGATAGGAGAGAAATTGTCGTCCTTAGCATTTCTCGAGGTTACGTTCAAATATGTTCACCGTGACATCCCTTTCGAGCTTAGCAAGATGAAAGATCTTCGCTTTTTAGACCTAGCTTCTAACAATTTCTCGTGGATGATCCCCACGTCACTTGTGAATTTGGAGGCCATGTCCCACATTCCTGCCGGCAATGGCTCACTTTCGGATGTCGTCTACTATGGATTGTCACTTTCAAATGTTGTCGCCTACTATGGATTGTCATTTTCTGGAGGGATGAGATTTGGGCCTAATGAGTTCATTCACATGAGCACGTTGTACAATGATAGTTTATCGTTGTCACTAAAGGGCAGCAACTTGAATTTACAACTGAATCAGTTTATGGTAAATTTGGATCTGTCTTGCAACAAATAACAGGCATATTCCTCAAGAAATTAGTGCACTTATCGCACCGACAAGCTTAAACCTTTCTTGGAATGATCTAAGCGGGACAATCCCAATGAATATCGGTGCCTTACGATTACCGGAATCTTTGGATCTATCACGTAATGGGCTTTCTCGAGAAATCCCTAAGAGCGTATCATCTCTAAGCGCACTCACCACTTGAATTTGTCTTACAACAATTTGTTAGGACAAATACCGTCCCGGGAATCAATCTACAGTGTGCTTGATAACCAGGCATCCATATACATTGAAACCCCGGTCTTTGTGGTCCACCTCTCTCAAGAAATTTTCCTATAGTTCCAATCTCTCTAAAATTTCCCCACATCCTTTGTTTTGATCAAATCAGGCCTTAGTGGTGAACATATATCGGTTGTGTCATGTAGTTGTAAACAAAGGTTCCTTACATTCAGTTGAACAAATCATGACCTACTTAGAAAAAAAGGACACTCAATCAAATGAAAAGCATCACAGCGCCATGATGTTTGCAGCCATCTACTAATACTAGTTGCATCACAGAACCGCATTTTAGAGGTGGGCACAGGCGGCGTGTACCAAGGCCGACGGGAGCAGGCGGGGGTCCCTTGTCGCCACCGGTGCAAGGCGAGAGCACGTCGACGGAGGGGAGGCCGCGGTCGGGGAGGGAGAGAGTGCTCGCCGTCGCCGCTGCCAGCTGGGCTCACCCCCACCCCACCTCATGAGAACGGGAGCGAAGGAGGGAGCACAGGCGGCGTCGGCGGAGGGGATCGTCGTCCAGGCTTGCCATCCAATCTCTCCGCCTCTCTCTCCGTCTCTCCAGCTGGCGGTGGTGTGGGGACCGCCTGGGCGGTGGTGGAGGGGGGAGGCGGCCGCACATGGCGGTGGGGGGCGTGTGCGGTGTGTGTGTGAAAGTAGGAAACGATTTGAGGGAGAAACGGCTTGTTTCAATGCTTACATTTCGAAAGTGCCTAGATGTACGGCGCACTCGGTAAACTCAAGCACCAAGAGTTCAGTACATGTTTACCACCGAAAGTGCCCCGATCTACTGGCACTCGGTAAACATAAGCATGGCAGGTGGGCAGTGGCTAACCTTTACCGAGTGTTTGAGGTCACACTCGGTAAAAGTATCCATTATTTCATGCAAAACAAAAAAGAAAAAATGCCAATTTAATCCTAAAATTCACCAAACTTTCACATGAACTATTTCATGTCATCTATTTACTATCTAAAAATTCCAAGTTCAAATCATAATGTTGAATTTCACTCTTAATAGAAATCCTACTCGTCATTTTGAATGTTTAGCGTCCCTTTGGGAGATGTACCGGTTTGCGGCAAATGATTTAATGTAAAAATACTTCCAAAACGTTATTAAATTTTTTTCTATAACATAGATGTATGCTTCAATGTAAATTCTTCCAATCTTGTGATTTATCGAGTTCGATTTTAATTATTACAATTAAATTCACACGATATGTTCCTAATTTTCATAAAGAATGAAAATTTTGTGAAATATAGTAAATAAATCAAAATAAACACCATATTTTGGAATGGAGTACTAAATATCATATGTGGATAGAGGAAAAAGAATGAAGGGAAAAACAAGAAATTTGGTTGAATTTTACCTGTTGGGAAAATACACTCGGTAAAGATAGTATTTACCGAGTGTATTGGCCCAACACTCGGTAAAATTTCATGTTTGTCGAGTGTATGATCATAACACTCGGTAAACATGTCATGCCTTGACGCCGTTTGGGCACGGTTGCTATCCTAGGTGACGTGGCACGCCAATACCGAAAGTGACCGCTTTTACCGAAAGTGCACCCTTCGGTAAACTTGTGGTTTTACCGAGTTATAGTATACCGAGTGTGCTGACTCGGTAAAGCGGTTGACTCCGGTGTTTATGTTTTCCGAGTGTTGGCACTCGGTAATCACTTTTTTCCGAGTGCCCCGACTTTTGACACTCGGTAATTGTCGGGGCACTCGGTGACTACACAGTCTCCGGTAGTGCAGGTATCGACCCTTAAATGTCATCTCGTCCTGAATGTCGTCTCATATTTTTCTCTCTTGTCAAGAGAGTTAGAGGAGTTATGTCTCTCAGAGAGTTTAGCTCTTCTCTCCCCGCTAGCTCAAAGGGTGGCATCTCTCCCCACGTGGCATCTGACACTATCTTGGAGCTGGCCAATTGATGTGCCCTTATATGCATGTGGGAAAATTGTATGTCTTGTGTAGATCCCGGCACTTGATTTCCGTTCTCTACAGTAGTTTTTTAAAAACAATTTTTCATGTTTTCTCTATGTAATTACATTAAACCGTTAATCACTCCTATTAACGTGAATCAGATTATGTGAAGTAGATTGCCAGGCAGGGTAGTAGTATATTTTAAGGTGCACCAGCATTTAAATTGATTAATAACAAGCACCACTGTATATATAGCAAAACCATTAACTATCCGAACAAGTAGGTCGATCGAAGCATACATGAGCACACATACATATAGCCATGTATGTGCGCACATACATGGCTGTTCACAAACACAAGACCCGCATACATGAGCACATGATGAGAAGCTAGCTAGGTAGCACTGCAAGCCACACATACATATAGCCATGTATGTGCGCACGTGTACACAGTGCACACGGTTACATACATAATACTGTATATATAGATACTGCATGCTGCTCCTCCTGTTACCACAACTTTATTTTATTTTCCTGGCTTGCTAGCTTCATCACGTGCACTGGTACTTACGTCGTAGATTTCATCATTTAGCTGACCCTGCATGCGCCAAAAGAATTGAGAAAAAAAACATATATGAATCTGTGCAAGCAAGATTATTGATGAAAGCAGAGATGGAGGAACGATGATGGCAAGATTACTACGTACTTGTTGCAGTCAGTGGACATGCTAATGGGGAAGCCCACGGAGACGCCGCACTTGCCGGGGATGGTGGCGACGGTGCCCATGTTGACGCTCTTGACGCTGTTGGCGAGGGTCTTGAGGCAGCGGCACGCCGCCTGGCGGTCGGAGCTGGTCCGCGCCGCGCTGTTGAGGTTGCGCACGCCGGTGCAGCACGACGCGGGGAGCGCTGTGGCCTTCCCCGTCGCGTACGGGATGCACGGCGCCAGCGACGACCCCACCTGCCCGCACGTGATCGCCGCCGACACGGACGACGCCAGCAGCGCCGCCGCCGCCACCACCACCACGGCCAGTGCCACAACCGTCTTCCTGCTGCTGTTCGTCATCAGCACAGCCATCGTCGTCGTCGTCGCTGCCCTGACCGAGAGTCGCCGAGACGTGTGTGAGTGAGTGTGTAGTGAGTGGTGGGTGACTGTGCGTGCTGCGGAATGAGCAGGGTTTGGAGGGTTTAAATAGAGCGAGCGAGGGACCTATGACTATGAGGTGTTCGATCAGCTCGATGGAGACGATGACAAATACAGTCAGCCCGATCGGCTGGGGCTGGCTGGCTGAGCTGGCTGGCCAGCCCCCTTACATGGATACTATTCACATGAACCAACCAGCAGTACTTCTCTCATATAAACGAATCAGCAACGATACGAACCAGCCAACCGAACAGGCTGACTAGTATTGCTAGCTCCATCTCGCATGAATGTATGCGTTGAATGATGAATTCAAGAACGTCGCTGCCAGGTCGTTGGCAGTTGGACTAGCTGTGGACCTGTACTGCTGTTAAGTGCTGTGATTTTCACTTCATTAGAATAGGTTTACCAGCTGATCTCGATTGGTCTCCGTCCAGCAGAGTCCAATTGCAAGTCCAACTCTGTGGAAAATGTTTATATCACACAAAATTTGTTAACTAACAAAAGTTGGCGTTTCTGCATGCAAAAACAGATAGGTAGCAAGAGAATCTCTTTCTTGAGATTGATTTCCCCTCTCTTCAAGGCAAAACAACTGCCTCCGGAGTGCTCACGACGGCAACTGAGCTTTCTTGCTGTTGCCAACTTGATTACTTGATAGCTGTACGTGTGGCGTGTTCTGCAGTTACCTGACGAAGCGGCACCTTAACAGTAAGTGTTAAGTATATATATATAAGTTCCGCCTCTTAAATATGTTCTAAGTTAATAAACTACTGTAAGTTCTCTTTGGTAGGGTTTGGACTTCTCCAAAAACTGTAAAGCCAAAAAAATAAAGTTACGTTTTGATGGCTTTGGTTTCTGAGCAAATTGGCATGTGCTTCATTTTATTTGCTTTGTCTTCAGAGCCGTTCTCGTAAGCAAGTTTGGCAGGGATTTTGATGCCGGTAGAAAAGCCCCAACACAAACCTTGTCAAAAAACATCTAAATGTGTTCATCTCAGTGGCAAACCCAGAGCCCAGCGACCTGGGTGCCCGCTCGGGCTCCAACACTGGCACACGCTGAGTCCTTTGACACAGCACCCCTTATCCGAAGCTTTGAAATATGTGATCTCATCGACGGATGCCTCAAGTTTCTCCAGGGCTGCGTTTGAGTGCTAGCCGATCTACTAATGATTTATCTTGAGTATATGTTCTCCTCATGCATGAGTAAGACAGACGATTAGTTTATACTGATTTTTTAGACTTATTAGAGGGAAACTATATGGAATTGTATTCATTGATTGATAAGAAGTACTGGTTGGTTAGCTTGGACAAGTAAGGATGTGTACATGTGTGGCATGTTCTGCGATTCCCTGAAGAAGCGGCACCTCAACAGTGAGTGAAGATTCAAGGATATATACACAGTACGTTCCAATTAATAACTACAGCAGTACTTGCCTTTCCTACTATTTAACATTGAATTATTTTCAGCGGATGTACACCTCCGGATATTTATTTCACTACCTTTTTCTAAAAAAAAATAGTTGCCATCATGAGTCGTCGATCGATGATGTCCCACTACAACACGCAATGCAAACTGAAGTTGAAGCAATACTAAATGACAAGTAGTTTTCAAGCGTTTCACGCGTACATTATGAAGCAAATATTTTTTTTAAGGATTTTTTTGCTATGGTACTCCCAAAACACTATAGACCATAGATCTAAATGTTACGGGAGAGACTAGCGTCCGGACGCACGCGCTGGCTGCCCGCCCACATGCTGCTTGAATCAGACAGAAAAGGCTAGTGGGGCTTGAGTTTTACCATGTGATCACAAGGAGATCAAAGAAAAAGACATGCATCCCCTGCCCAGCTGCCCGCACGCTGCTGCTGCTGTTGTTGCCGCGCGCTACTGCTGCCGCGCGCTGCCGTCCCGGCCCCGCCCTGCTTGCTGTTGCGGTACGCATGCACGTGGGGGCCACCGCGCCTGTGATTCGCTTCTCGTGCACGCGGGGACCGCTGCGCCTGAGGGTACCTCCTCGGTTGTGCCCACTTCCCGCGCCTGCTCATGGAACACTTGCAACATAAAGCATTTGCTGCAACATTCATCCAAAACAAATGAAACATTTACAACATACTCTTACAACATATGTGTATGGTCACTACAACATGTGCAATATCCAGATAAAACACTTGCAACGTACGTTTGAAATAGCTAAAACATTTGAAACATACAATCGCAACATGCGCGTATAGCCAGTTTAACATATGCAACATCTAGATAAAACACTTGCAACATATGTTCGAAACAACTGAAACATTTGAAACATACACTTGCAACATACGTGTATAGCCATTGCAACATATGCAACACCGATCTACTTTTGCAACATCCATATGAAACATGTACAACATACATATGAAAAGCATGAAACATACGGTTGCAACATGTGCTCATCTATTTGCTGCCGCCCAATAAAAGCTCGTTGACGCAGCACGGGGGAGCGTAGCATGAGGCGCAGGCGGGGTGCGCGACACGAGGCAGGTCTGGCGAGGTGTGAGGCGTAGGGGCGCGCAGCTCGAGGAGGGTCCGTCCTGGTGGGCCAGTCAGATCTAGTTGGCAGGCCTAGCGAAGGCGTGCGTCTGGCTAGACGAACGCTCGGTAGAGAGTGTTAGCATATATACTTCCTTGATGGTAGAAGAAGAAATAGGGAAACTATCTTCCTATTAGATCTAATATGCATGCATAATATAACATTCATATTTAGTGTAACGTGACATGCGGATAATGTCTTTCTTCTAACTTATTTATTTTGTAAAAAAAATCTAGAGATGTAGCAATTTTTACGAAAACAGAACGTGATCCACAACGTTTTTAAACGGTGACCAGCAACTATGTTTTTACGTGAAAGAAAAACTTCCATCAGGTGTGTGACTACTTTGAAAAAAAACATGTATTTAACTGCTCTATCATATACTCCCTCTGTGCTCTAATATGGTGTATTTTAAAAATTTTAAGACAAATTAAGAGAGAACATAAAAGACGTATGTACATTCGTTTTATTTCCTAATAAGACGCTATCATCAATATGATTAATGGTGATTGGTTGATAAATAAAAAGTAATTAATACAAAAGTGGGTTTTGTCCTCTAGAATGTATTATATTTGAGGACAAATTTTAAATGCTAGAATACACGATGTTACACGACGGGTGAGTACTTGACAAACTTTTATATGTAGAAATAAGATGCATAGAACCCTATCATGCATGAAAGTTGTTTAAGTGGTGCAGTTCTTGTTCTTCACAGTTCTGATCGTGGATTCGGCGGTGGGAATGAAATTGGCTTTGTAGTTTTATTATGCTCTTGCTTTACTACTCAAACTTACTCATGAAAACTGAAATAAAAAAAGAGAGAAAGAAAAAAAAATCCGTGTGCATGTGCGTTCAAGTTGACCAAACAAGGAAGGAGCGGGATTTCTTTTCTCTCTACCAGATCATCATGTTGGTGCAAACAAGGAAGGAGGGGACAAAAATATTTATTGCATCAGTGATGCTGAGATTCTAGGTTTTTTTAATTTAGATTATTTTGTTTTTAAAAAATCAAGGGCTGTAATTTCTTTAAGATATTACTCTGTCCCATAAAGAATGCAATTCAGCATAGTATCACGTTTTTAGTACCTTTAGTTTGACCAATTATACATAAAAAACATCAATATTTATGGTATTTTCATAATAAATTAATTTAAAGCTATAAATGTGAATATCATTCAATGTAAATTTGGTCAGGTGGCTTTCTTTTTTGGAACGGAGGCAGTAGAAAGAGAGTACCACAGCAATACCCTATATATACATACATGCAAACTCACCGTCCTCTATAACATACGCACAACATATTATTCTTATGGGACACTTACGAAAGATTAAATAGTCAAGTTTGAAGATTAAGAAATCCAATATAGAAGTCATTTTATTTGTCGACACACAAATCACGTAGAATAGTTCCGCAAGTATAAATTATATAGAATATTTCTAGAAAAATTACAACAAGCAAGAGAATCTAGCCAGATGAGTTACACACAATTTACTATGGAAACCTAGGTAGCTAGACAGCAGAGGTCACGCAACTAACCTTCTTTTCGATGGAACGGGAGTGTTCGGCTGCAACTTATAAGATATGGTATAGTATTTTTCTCTCTAAAAAAATCAGTCATACAAATCAGCACAAGTGACTTTACGATAGCTTTAAATTTTCTATTGTTGGCACGTCTCTGTACACGCATAGATGGCACACTCTATAGCCAGGTTACCCGCGATCACGAATTCACGATCGATCCATCACGAGCGACATCTATCATTCCCGTGCTACCAAATTATCATGCATAAGTCTCTCCGACGATACGTAACCCGTGGACGCTTCTCAGCCACGACTTCTCTTCCATCACATCCAACCAACTTGCACATCATGTGCATATATGATCGATGCGCTAGTGTGTCTGGCGCCGCATAATTCGTTGGCCCGTTATTAATTAATCTTCCAATTAGTTTAGGCATGTGACGAAATGAAAGAGCTCATCATCAAGAGTAATCTTCGTGTTAGTGATTGAAAAATATAAGAAAAGGCTCTCCTACAGATTACCACGCTAATTAGTACTCTCTCTATTACAAATTATAAGTCGCTTTAATATTTTTGGTGCGTCCATTGTGCCATGCATCTAGATGAATAACACTAGTAGAGAAACGACCTTTCATCCATGGCCAAAAAGTATTTAGTCCCGGTTTAAAAATTGCAACCGTGACTAAAGGGAGGACCGGACCTTTAGTCTCGGTTTGTAATACAAACTGGGACTAATTCTACCTTTAGTCCCGGTTGTAACGGTTACCGAGGTGTGTCAGAGGCATAACAGTGCGAGAATCTTTAGTCCCGGTTTGAGACATGAACCCGGACTAAAAGTGTGACTTTT